GCCGGTCCCGTCGGGTATTGGAACTCCAGCGCTTCCTTGCTGAAGAATCGCTCGTCGGCGCTTTCCGGTAGTTCAGGTAGAGGGTCCAGCTCCTGGTAAACGTGGGATAACGGAAAAGGAGAACTGTGCGTTAGAATGGGACGGGTAACGATGCGGTGGGGCAAGGGCAAGCAAGCAAGACTCTCGTTGTTTGGGATATATATGTTATATCATACAAGTACGTAGTTCGGATTGGTAAATACTATTTTTCTTACAAACAACAGTTGTAGAAGTAAACTAGTCTATCGGCTAATCGGCAAATAAATTATTCGCAAATTAGTATCCGTAATACGAATTAATAAAAGGGCCAACAGCCGTGAGTGCACGCAAGCAAGAAAAAGGCAAGGGGCTGCTGAACCTTTCTCGCGAAAGAAAAATGTAGGAAAGCACCGCAGGAGGAGATAAGGAAGGAAGAAGAAATTATCATGTGTAACCTCTGTTGGTGGGCCGAACATGTGATGGTTGCGAAGCATGTGTGTGCGGTATTTAGTGTCAAAACGGGCGGGGTAGACTGCTGTCACCCAACATCTGAAGGCGATGTAATAAATACCCACGCATAGGCGCTGGCTGTGCAGTTACTGGACTCATATTGTGGGTTAGGCCTTCGACCAACACAAGTCCGTAGCGAGTTCGCAAACATGTCACGCGTGAGGGCCGTAACGCCTTCCGCCGTGTCGCTGAACATCACGCCGCGCCCGCTTCTTCGAAAAAACGCAGCTAAAATATGATGTACATTAGTCCTCAGATATTAATGGTACATACTAATTAACGGCGCTGAAACCTGGAACAACGCTAACAACTAGAGACAAAACACAACGCAACACGATGAACCGGGATGCCAACTGTGTGGCGAGTGGTGCAGCTACTGCTGTACCTACAACATGCGATCAGGGGAGAGAGGGGCGAGATTTCCTCAAATCATGAACCGCATGATACTTCTTGAAAGGGCAAGTAGCACGTGCCAAAAAAGCGGTGGATTGCTGTGGCTGCTGGATGCTGCCGGTGCTGTAGGCAGGCAGGCACGAGAGTCTCGCAGCGAGGGTTGTTCTCCAAAGTGCTACGTAGATACAATACCTCCGCAGGCTTTACTGTTCCTTGTAAAGGAGACTACCGCGCCTGCGCACCACTGGCCGTGCCACTTCGAACACACATGTAGCAGTGCGGACATTTTTCTGTAACTGCTCTCCGTTCCTACTTTCTTTCTTGGGCGCAAACGACACACACACAAGACCGGCAACAGCCAGTGTGGTTCTGCTGTCATCTCGTGAGCAAAAGCCTGTTTCTGCTGCTCAGTACAATAGAGCCTACGTGTGTTCACCAAGGCCGACATGGGGCCTGAACGTCTGGACAGCGGCAGTCGCAGCAGCGGCAATCGCAGCGGGTGCACTTCCGCAACGCATGCACAGCAGCAAACAATCTGCTGGCTGATGATGGCGGTGGTGGTGGAGCCAGCCCGCAACGGCACAAGCAAGCGGCACATGGGGATGGCGAAAAAGTCGTGCGCTTTGCCGTGCACTCTCACTACAGCTGCCAACAGCTCGCAGGCCGAGGCAAAACTTTGTGTGCTGTAACAGCCGTACGGCCTCTCAAGTCACGTACGCTGCGTGCCTCGTCGTTCTTTAGGGAAACATGAACGATTAACAAAGCTAGGTATATCTACCGCGGACTTGTCGCCCTTTTTCGAAGACATTTCAGCTTGAACAAATTCGTAGGTAGGCTACGTTCGTTCGTTGCACCTGCACAACGTGAGAAGCGTTTTATAGGTCGTGGTGCGCTTTGCCGTGCGTGACGCACACCCAGACCAACAACTGTTGCGGGGGTGCCACCTTCTACTCTGCAATCGACCATGCTACGGACGGTGAGAGTGAGACCACCATCTTCGCGCAGCGTCCACCATCAAACTGAAAAAACTGTTGCGTGTTTCCGCCAGTCCGCTCGAGCACCCACACACGAACTTGGTGGGAGGCAAAGAAACGACCAGAATCGTGTGCAGCCTCAACAACGTCCAACAAGATAGCAAGGCGCCTACCAAAGGGGATTTCCGCCAGCCGCCAGCGTTCTCCTCGGGGCATGGATGGAGCTGGCCGATAAGACACAGCACGGACTCCCGCAAGAAACAGCTCCTCTTAACAAAGCGCTGCTGTCGCCGCCTTTGCTCTCTCTCTCACCTCCAAAATATCAGCGTAGTTATCCCGGTTATCCTCCATCGCCACGGCTTCGTTTTTGGCCTGCCAAGCTGCGTGCTGCCGTAGTCGCAATCGCGCTCTTTTCACAGAGAGCTCGGCAACCCCACGTGTCTCCGACTATCGTGTCAGGACCCTTCCCTTGCCGTCGAGAGAGAGAGAGTTTGGCTGGTTGGTAAGCAGCCCTGCGTTTCTTTCGCTTCTTCAATAGGTTGCGTTCTCCAAGGGCGGACGAAGAGAGCGATGATGCACGCATACGTATGTCATGAGGGCCACGTACGTGGTCGTTAAACTTCAATGCGGACCGGCCAATCAGAGGCCGGGATTCAGGATTCGGTAAGTCGGTAAGTGCGAAGTGCGAAAGGAAGAATAAGAATTTTTTGTAAATCACGCCGCTTTTCCGAAACGGCTCGAGCGAGCCCATTGCCGGTGCTGTACAAATACGTGGTAGTCATGATACTGCTTGCTGTTGTTTCCGAGGCAGCAACTGACGGACAGGAAGGAGAGCAGTGAGGGAGACGAGCGAAATGTGAGCATAGGGATGGTAGCTTGGCAGCTCCTTTTGAGTATGGATTGCGCCTCTCGCTGTTCTCCGTGTACAGCAGTAGATACTCGGATCATACGCTGTCTTTGTTGGCGGATTGGTGCGATATAAATAGCAGTGCGGCTTCGCACAACAAGGTTGGAGTAGATGGGTCTGTAAGGTGTACCGCTATACAGCAGTGGTAGGAAGCAACCGTACACCTCAGAGGGCCGGGCGAGAGAAACACAGACAACAACTGGTTTCTTTCGCAGGGACTGATTGTCATGGCGCACACTCTCGGCGTTTTTGTGCGGAAAGAATGCACACGTCCTGCTACTGTGTAACCTCGGGTCGGAACTCTCCGCCTGGAGAGGCAAACCACGGGCGGTAGGGATGACACACCGTGTGATAATACCCGTGATATACTGTAGACTACGATTCTGTGCTGCTCTCCATGCACGAACATGAGCTGAGCGCAACGCCAAATGCCGCACCCACCACTAACGGTGTGTGCCGCAGAATCGTTTCAAAACTACTCCATCCGATCCCTGCTTGCCGTACCGGTCTCTGCAGTGAAGACCCTGGTACGATATGTAGTCCAAGTCTGCTTCTCTTGATTGTCTATGTGGAAGCACCTCGACAAACACAAGCTTTGTGCATGCACACAAACATTCATGTCACAGATAGATACAACGCACGCGCTGATCGGGGGCACGTTGCCAGAAAAGCGAAAACATGATGACGGGTGGCGGCGCAGCCGGTGGCAAGAAGGTCAGCGCCCTGGTTCAGGAGCAGCTGCAGTATTGCCGCTCTCTCCGTCGGGCGGACATGCTATCGGCGGTCCAGGTAAGTACAATATGCATATCCATAGCGCCGTCAATGCTATAGATAATATTTGAAAACACACACATGCGGTTAGCGCGGTCGGAACTAAGAAGTAAAATGTATTGGTAGTAATTATCGACACACAGATGTTCGATCTCTCGCTCGGTTGCAAGCAATTTCCTACTTACTGGTGATTTCTCGGAGATTGCGGGGTGATGAGAATGCCTCAAAGCCCGCCCGAACCGTGTCCGGGTGGCAAAACTACGGTGATTCCCAACGTATCGCAAGGAGCACCCAGCGAAATGCCAAGTTGACGAGGCTCGTGAATGAGGTATGTAATGTAGCAAAAAAGAGATCCCATGCAGGAGATACATGTAGAAACGACAGACGAAGGTAGAAGGAATGGTGGTGTAGAAGAGAGAAAGGGCTTAGGTACATCGGATCTTCCATGTCATATACGTCCATCGACAACGAAAATATACTACAGGAATAACAGACCTTCAGACCAATCGCACATTAGAAGGTACTGAGCGGATACCGGAGCGTTTAATATTATTGTGAAGAGAACAACAACAACAATAACAACAACAACAACAACAACAACAACAACAACAACAACAACAACAACAACAACAACAACAACAACAACAACAACAACAACAACAAAGCGTGTTCACTGTTTTTCCTCATGCGATAAGACTGGAGTCTTTTCATTGGTCAGCCGGTTAGAGCGATTGGCGCTATTGCAAGAACGCACATAGATACACAAACCAAGGAAATATTACGTTCAGATGGAACAGGGTAGGGACGGCAAGCGACGGCATCAGGTGAAGGCTTTGGAAAACCATGAAAAGGGGGAAAAAATACCTGTAGCTCCCGCCGTGTAATTCTGCACTTGTAGCATGGTGTTACACCTGAACATGCTGCTAGTTGCGATGGTGTATATCCAAATCACTTTCGGGGGCTCTTGTCTAGACTACAGTAGTGTACGATCTCATCCAATAAAAACTGGCGTCGCATCATAGACTATAGACATTGCCTCAGAGGACCGTACGCCCCACGAGCGTTAAGGCAATAACCTCTTTGAGCCGGGAGGCTCGTGTCTTATTTCTATGTGGGGTGACCTTGAATAGCGACCACATTTCGTCGTGACACTAGGGGTCGCTAAACCGGGACCCCCACTGTATGTTTTTTTATTGCAGGGTTATTTACTGAGTGCCAGTCCTTATGGCCGAGAGCATAAACTTATGTTTTTATGTTGCCCCGCCCCCCCCCCCTAGCTGAGTATATCATCCCCCAGGTTCTTAACGTGGGCACGATGTGCTCCTTCCTGGAATAAAATTTATCACGCTTATTCTCTGTCTAACACACACACACTGTCTTGTTTGCGCATGTTTTCGCCCGGCGCGAAGAACGTCGCCACAGACGAAGAGTGCCTCAAGCAGGCAAACTCCCTCATCATGCTGCTCAAGGCCGACGTACGGGTGCTCAACGCGTGTGCTGCGAGACTCCTGCTTCCTTCAGAGGCAGCGATAGTCACAGATTCTGCTACGAGCGAAGTACCTCGCAGGTATTCATTGCGTTGGTGTGTTCGGGTACGTGTAGCGAAAAAACACGTGTCGTGCGTGCCACCAGCTAACACATCGCGGGGCAAGCTCGCTGCCGCACTAAATAGTGAGCCTGTGGAACATCTCACTCCTAGGTCGTTTGGAGAAGTCCTAGTGCGCGGCGTTGAAACACACAGGCCTGAGCGTTTTCGTTTTTCGCCAAAACGCATGCCACGTACGAAGCATCGCCGGGAGCTCAACAGATGATACGGAACCAGTGGCATATATCCCCCCAAGACAGGTTGCACAGCGGTGACCATGGCCACCTCAGAAACACCGCTACTTTTTTCCGCACCAAAACAGCGCCTACAACGTGGAAACCATCGAGCGACTATTCCGGAGGTTTCGGCAGGTGGACACTACCGATACCAGCGGCAGCAGCATCCAAGCCGTCTCCGCCACGAACCAGCTCCTTCTCATCCGCGAGAGGCTCCAGGCGGGGCTGAGCTCTCGCCTTCTGGAGCTCAAGACGAAGATGGACAAGGAGTTCGGCACCGCCTTCGTCGATATGGAGAGCTACCTCAGGATGGAGAAAGGTGCAGTAGCAGTAGAAGCATGGATGGATATTGTTGGTCGTTAGGAGCGTCTTGCACCGGGCCCGATTTGTCAAAAATGTTTGTGGAGTGCTTCTATATTGCGGAACTTGGCGAAGCGATTGCGAAGGAAGAATGAAAGGAAAGTTCCTCTAAAAAACAATGCAAGCTACTTCAATAAAATCTACCATGTTCCAAGTAGTTTTGGTGGAACCACTCCCTTGCAAGTTTTTTACAACATTTTTTAATTTTTTCGAAGACATCAACAGCGCTGGAAGCCGAAGCCTTGGAAACAATAGCCCCTTTCAAAACGCCCGTGCCTTCGTACATCGCACGCTGCACTCTTGGTTGTGAGCCCTTTTCCGAACTCCTTCGTGCACTCGACGCACGCCTTGGCTGCTCTAGACTTAGCTCTGCCATGTGCCGGTGTACAGGGCTTTTAGTTTGTGAAGAGAGGTTGGTTTGGCCTGCCGTGTTGTCGATGGGGTACGGTGGCATGTTGGACACGCGCTAAACAGCGAAACCAGTGCCCAACGGCGAGGCCGTTCGTGACGTACTCTCCCCGTCCCATGCAAGACACCCAGGCGAAGTCGGATGCGGAGCACTGCTCTGCGTGCGCGAGATACTTTGTCGAGCTCTGCTACAAGTTCCAGGTGATTTACTATCTCTCTGAAGCAATAACATCACCCCCGCTGTAAGAGTGGGCCGAATGAGGTACGAGTGTAGGAGAATGCAAGGCAGGGTACGTTCGTGATGGATTTTCAGCGATCGATTGCTCCACAGGCAAGAGGGAACGAAGAAAATCGACCGACGCGTGCAAGGAAATTTCTCCACGGAGTTCTTCCCAAAACCACTCGTTTTCGGCATTTTCTCGGGCTTGTCGTTAGTCGATCGTCTACAACTGCATTTGCCGACACCCGTTTCAGAAACTCACTATAGTAGGTAGACGAAATACCCGGTGTCCAGACCCTCACCCTTTCGTGTGTTTCATGGACAACCTGGACACATGGACAGCTGGAAATGTCGGCTTATGACAGGGGCAATGACTCGTACACCTGAAATGCTTGACCTCTCACCACAGAACAGGCTTTAACTCCTCTGCATTGAGTAGAAGACTCTCGCATGTGATTCTTTCGTGCGGCCATGTCAGGTGATAGTGACCTCAAAAGTCGATGATCCTCGAACCCGCTGCTGTTACCCAGGATTTTCGTCGCAAAACCCTCGTCGGGTCTATCAAACGATTGCGACCTATCCGTTCGATTTAAAAAAAACACACCCCGCAGGTGATGGTGCACGCCTGCCGAGGGCTCCGCGCGGCAAAGGAAGGCCTGAACCAAACGGTTCTGCTCAAGGCCCTGAGGGAGGAGAGAGACTCGCTGGCGAAGCGCCTGGGGGACTGCGAGGCGGACCTCAAGAGGATACACCACAGCTACACCGAGATGATGAACCCTGACATGGCGGTGGGGTAAGAAAAAAAGGAACGGTGGCGTACTTCTGCTCTCGTCTGTCTCCCGTGTGTGCGAAGGAATCAGACCGCTTCTTTCTGCAGAGTATGACGGTCTCTGTGACTCAGTCTAAGGGATGGAAGTGTAGTGTGTCATGTAGCCTGCGGTAGGCGTTGGTGCGACGCGTTGGTTCTCTAGGGTTCGGTAGTTTCTCTCTGCAGGAGTCTTTTTAAGCCTTGCATAATCTCCGCTGGATAGGTCTTTCACCCCTGCCTGGCGCGTACCAAACCCAATCCCGTCCCGTTCTTATTGTCTACGTCCCGACTCCCACCCGCAGCCTCGAGAACCGACAGCGACACAAGATAGAGGAACAAGACGCTGACTTGAGCCGGCTGAGAGCGGAGATAGTGTCCCTGAAGAGAGATCACGAGCGGTTGCTGGCGGAGAACGGCCGGTCTTCAGACGCCGTCGGGGAGCTGCAGTCGCAGGCTCAGTCAGTGAGTGTTCGAGACGCGGGTTCTGGGCGTGCCGGGTAGGGACGACCGCCTCCGCGTACGGTAAGGTTGCGAGTCAGCGCACGGGGGTGCGAGCGATTTTCTAAGCATAATTGCTCCACAACCAGGAGGTTACCTCTGTCGAAAAGGGCCGTTTTGGAAATATATCATCGAGACTTTTCCTGAGGAGTACCAGTTGGCGCTCGCACCCTGCTGGTTGTGGAGAAATTACGCTTTGAAAATCGATCGCACTCCTGTGCGCTGACTCGCAACCTTACGGTACTTGGAACCATGTTGAACGAATCGCAAATAATTATCCGTGTTTCGTTGATTCTCAAGGGATGGTGCAGAAAATATCGTCGCCATTAAACAAAGCCCCCCAAGACATGCGCATCGCGAGTGCTGGAAGATTCCCTCGGGGCTGTTTTAGTTCTAGCCTTGCGCGCGGGCGCAAAGACTTGACGTTGTTTTTATACACCTCAAAAAGAGTGGTGGTCATGTCTGCATACCACCCCACCCAGCCCTCCCGCGAGGTTTGGCCTCCTACAGCCCCCCCCCCCCCCCCCGCCCTGCTGTGCCAGAACAAGGAGCAGCACGCGAGGGAACTGGCGTGGCTAACCCCGAAGGTTGCCGCGGCCGAGAGCCGAGCAGTAGAGATCGAGGGCTTGGTGGACCAGATGAACCTCAAGCTCTCGCTGCTTAGCGCCAGCCACAGGAAGGCCTCCGAGGAAGTCGCAGACCTCAAGGTTGAACAAGCCGTACTACTGTACCGACTGCAGGGCTTCAAGTTGTAGCCGTGTGGTATATCGGCTATTGGACTACTCTTTTCCTTGCCGTTTTTTTCTGAAGTTAGGGATTTGGCTTTCACGAGGTACATGACCTGAACCCCACCCGCCCTTCCTGAAACGTATGTACAGCGTCCCCGAACTCTGACAAACAAAAAATAACCGAGTAGTAAAAAATGTAACACACACACATACACACACATCTTTTCCCGCGTTTTCGCTGTTGGTTTCGCGACTGAGTAAAATTGGGGGCGAGGGTTGCGCAATACATGAGTTTCGGGTGGTGGAGCGATCTGTAGCGGTTCTCCATGGGACACTTGGCACTTCAATCGTTGCTCTCGCCATAACGTCAGAGCCGCACCCAGATGGTCATGGGTCGAGGAGACTTAAAACTGCTCTATGCCCCCGCACCTGAAATGTGGCGAAGACTCTGTGTTTCACGAGGCGTACTCCTGAGGGAGCCTTTGTTCGGCGCTAGAATATGTTTGACGATGGCAACAAGTGAGATTCCCAAAGCAGAAATCCATGCTGCGCGCCGCAGATTCAGCTATCTCTGGCGAAAGCGGACGGTCCCGGTGCGAAGCTTTCAGATCTGCAGGGGGAGGCCGCGGAGTGCCGGAACGTTATCAGAAAGCTCAAGGTGGGAATTCCAATGGCAGACATGGTAGCAGCGGCTATGGTTTTGTCATCGCTTCTTAGAACCGTCGCTCGACGTTGCTGCCTGTCGTATCGCGAGGCCTCGTTTCTTTTGAACGAAACGGAGAGCTTCGATCCGGCGAACGGATTCCTCTGCTTTGCATACATGCCTTCGTAGTCAACGTGGGAAGGAGTTGCAAATGTCGATGTCGAGATTTCTGGCTAATGTTCGGGCAGACGGCAACAACAGTTGAACTCGGGACAAGCCAAAACGACGAAAACAAAACAAACAACACAGAAGAACGAAACTATCGTACTCATGTCTAGTGTATGCCGGCCGCCGCGCTTTGATAACTACCCGATATACCTGAGCGAAAGCAGCATGCACGTGTAGAATACCATGTGCGTGTACCTCATTACAATATAGGGCAGTGCATGATGCAACGAAACGCGTCACCCCAGCGCAAGTACGTGTTTTCTTCCCTCGATTTTCCATCCCGAAATTGTTTCGCACAAATTGTTGCCGCACCGCACCGCTCATGGCCCTGTGTTCTATCTGAACACTGCTGCCGTTCCTTCAAAGGGAGAGGTCGCGAGAAAGGGTCGGCTGATAACGGTGGCAATGTCGGCGAGGGCGGAGGTGCAAACCGCGTACCAAGACATGAAGCTAAGCACGGAGAATCTAGAGAAACGCTTCCGAGAGACCGAGGTGGAGACTGTGTGCGTTTTTCTTGTTGGCATCGACTGCGCTAACCGGCCGACCAATGAAAAGACGTCAGTCTCAGTGCGGCTGAAAACACAAAACTGCTTCTAAAGGCTACCACGATCTAGGACCCTGTGTGGGAGCGTCATGGGGGAGTCTACGCTACTCTCCGGATTAAAGACAGCAACATCAGAAGAAGACTGCACACGTGTTTACCATGGCTGGTACTACTTTGGATGCGCGTTCGTTTCGGATTTCTTTTTTCATCGTCTTCCCTGCATTTCCTACCTCCACTATCGTCGCCAATATTCCCACTACTTTTTGGCAGGTCCTCTCTAGTCCTGCGGCGTTTGTTGTGAGGAAGGCACGTAGTCTGGCTAAATTGTTTTTTGCACTTTTCCACACCATGTTTTCCTCCTCCATCATCGCCTTCGCCCTCCTTTCTTCGCTTGTCCCTTTCCTTCAGTCACTCTCAAAAAAATTACCCTCAATACCATCGTTATCGTTTGCACCAGAACTACTACAGAAATCTAACTTATTGGTCGTGGTGGAAATTGGTCGATCAGTAGTTCATGACGCTTGAATACATCACGAGTTCATGCGCAGAAAACAAACCAGTTCGAAGGTAAACCGTCTCCGAATTCTGTTTATATCGAAAGCCTTGAGGCGGAGCAAGGCTGTCTCACCGTCGAAATTCCCCATGAAGATTGCTTCGTAGGCCAAATGGTTGGCGATAGCTACGCTTAATCGATTGGCGCCTTGGTCGAGATCCACGATACGTTGAAAAATCAGCAGTACGGAGGGTAGATCTGGACGGGTTGAAAGTTCCCGCATAGTGTTTTGCCTTTCTTGCAGCTCGATCTTCGAGAGCGGATCCTGGAGTTTGAATCGACTTGTCGATGCTTGTATTTGCAGATGGGTTGACGATTGTGACATCTACAGGAATGGTCTGTGTGTGTGTCCGTCCTGGTCTACACACCAACCTCCGGTGCACCACGTATTTGCCGGGGTCATAGAAGACCGTTTGAATTCCCTAATTTGTTTTTAGTGTCCCATCTTTCGTTAGGTAGGTCTGGTGCATGAACGCGTCAGCACACGAAGAAAACACACATCATTCCCGCCCCCCCCCCTGCCGGGGAACCGACGGGCGCGACCTCCCCCCCCACCCCCCTAGGTCCCCGCATGAAGTAAACATCAAATTAAATTTTACTCCAAGATCAATTTCGTGTGTACACCAACAACGTCAAGCACAGTTCAATTTAGAGTAAGGGATAAGTGTAGGATTCACCACGCTGCAGCTGTGTTCCTTAAACTCTACTGTCTTGTTTCTCTTGAAAATGTGAACCTCTGTCTTATCGTTTTTTTATTTCGGCCCTGTTCTGTACGAGCAGTGAGCAAGGGTGACGCGAATGGATGAACGAACCTAAACATGTTCCACCTAACGCTCATGATTCGCGGCGCAGCCCCAATAGACTACATCTCAAGGTTCGACCGTCGGGCGTGTCATCCCACTTCCATTTGCGATATTTAGCCGCCCAAGGCAAATCGGTTGGCAACAAACCTCAACCTTCCCACCGTACCGGCGAGATCTTACCTGTTTCTAGCGAAAGGCCAGGCTATGAGGTTTTGGAGGTCCCAATGAAAACGCTCTGTGTCGGACATCGCGCGCCCCGCGTGGTGGCCCCGCGTGCTCCGTGTCTGTAGGGGGCGCGGATTTTGTGCGAGAAGCAGAGAGACGACGTGGCACGTCGACTAGAGGGCGTGCAAGGGTCGTTGGCTTCTGCCGAGCAGAGAGAGCTCGAGACGGCGGAGCAGCTGCGGCAGACGCAGGAGGATCTCGCCTTGAAAGCGGAGGAGAACGGCATCATGCAAGAAAGGTGTGACTTGGCACACCACAAGGCTCCCCAAGTGGTGTTGGAAAGAGAGCAAGCAAGCAAGAATTATCCCTAAAGGAGGAAACTGGATATCAAGGGTTTGTGGAACCACGGTGTGGTAGGTCGCCTAGGCGTTCGTCATTGTAGACGAAAAGGAGGGGGGCATGAGGGTGGGGGGGGATTCCCCAACGGCCCGAAAACTGCCCGAAAACTGCATGCGATTATTTCACCTGCGGGTCTTTGACGCTCCGAATCACATCGGGCACCACAACTGCCGGCAGCAATCTCCTTGCCGTGGAGCTCCTGATGTCGTGATGTGCTTCCAGCTGTGAAACGGAAAATAAGCCGCTTGATGTGGACGAGAACAAACTTCCTGCTTCTTTACCAATTCCAAGTAGCACTTGCACTCACGATAGCGGCCAATAGTTTAAACCCAGGACTACAATACCCCATTCTCGAGGGTGACCTGACGCTGTCGTTTTTGTGGTGTTTGTTCTTTTGGATGTTTGACGTTCTCTTCGCCTCGAACCCAACGCTCCCGGGGGGCGGCGGCTGTGGGGACAGGTTGGACAATCAGGAGATGGAGCTCCGAGACTATTCCAACCTCCAGAAGGAGTTCAACACCTTGAGTCTGAAAAACAAGGACTTGGTGTATCGCGTGGCGACGGTCAACGGTCTCCTTGAGGTGGGAACTGCTGCCATCACGTCACATGATACTTCATTCTACCGCATGTTGCGTACAGTTCCCCCACATGAAGGGAGACCGTTGCACTCACAGGCGGCGTGTGGCAGGCACCGGTGTCATTTCGACTTGCGGTAGTCTCATACAGCGCAAAAGAGGGGACGGTGGTCGGAGATGTGAAAGTTTCATTGTTGCCCACTCGCATGTACCCGGATGGATACAAAGAAGTCCGCGCAGCGTAACATCGTTTCGAATATATTATTTTCTTTGGCTTGAAAGCTTAGGACGCTTGCTTGGAAGGGTCGTGGTGGAACACCATCAACGCGGCATCCTGATTTTCAACACTAAATGATGAAACGGGAAGGATTTTGACCCAGTAGCTTGTTGAATATTGGTTGGATGCAGCGTTGTGTGCACATTCGAGGGCTTCGCCTTCATGACATCGTCGCCCCTTTGAACATCGGATGGTGACTGCTACAGGGGCTGAAGGAAAAGGCGGTCAGGCTAGGTATGGGCATGGAGCTGGGAATCTGCTGAAGGATAGAGAGAGACACGGACGGGGGGTGGGGACTTCACACGGTGTCGCCGCTCGTACGGTATCGTCGGTATCGTTGTCCTCGGCGGCATTTTTATCGTGGTCCCGTTCGGCTAGTGAACTGGACTCCAGACCACCGAGTAGGCGTCGCGTGTACATCATGGGTAGGGCGAGTTTGGTTGGAGTCTCCTGATGTCGCAGGCAACACGGCCCGTCACCCCCATCAAAAGCAGCCTGCATGCAGCCGACGTTGAAGTCTGTCGGCGAGAATAGGCACACCGTTCACCGCCCTCAAATTAATCTATTTTTTGCACCCGCTGGTAACATTGCGTCCGCTCTTATGGACTCGAATCATCCATCGAGCTGCGCCCGCGGGTACGATTTGCGTCCACTCGCCAAGGTAGACCAGTCAGTACGGAGAAGGAGGTACTGGGCGGAGAGATGGGAACGGTTTTTAATGTGAAGACGACAAAAAAACATGCAATCGAGGCATCCACGCACAGACTACGTCTACAGGTTTGAGGCTAACGCCGCATCGCATCTGCTGCCATCTATTCCTTCCGCACGTGTGGGGGCGGCGGGAGGGGTGTCGCACGGAACGGCAAGTGACTTCAGCTTTATACTAGCCGTAACGATGGTCCGCGCGACCAACGTAAACCAGCACCTCAAGCCCTGTTTGCGCCAAGAAAAACTCCGCACTCCCTGAGCAGAGGGTGGCACAGGCGATGAGGTGCCCCATTGCAGACAGTCCATAAGAGTACGTGGGAGTTTGCTCTACATTTCGTTCTCTCCGGGTGTCATTGCTGTGTTTCGAAAATTTTCGCGAATGTACCCTTGGTATTGGAGCCCTACATACCGGAGATAGTATCTAAAGCGCTTGAGATGTGGTTCTTGGCGAAATAAATCTGTGTATCAAGGGGTTGATGAGCCTCGTCTCCTGTAGTTGCGAAACAAAAAAACTGAGAAAACGCAGTTCTACCGCCGTTTCTTCGACTCGTAAACACGAGCAAAACAAAGAATACGTGCACGAGGTTGAAATATGTTCTCCACACAGGGATGCAAACGCGAACGAAAATATCACGCAACACACAACTTCGTAGGCACGAACGCTCCGAACAGAGTACATGGCAAAATACCGCCGTACCAGCCAATCATTCTATGTAGTCTCCGGACTGAGATAATACCCAGCTTGTCGCAACGTGAGCAGCATTCTTGATCAAGGGTACACCACCCTACTGCCCTAAGCAAGCACCCAAACAAGCATCCCTCGAAAAAAAAAAAAATGCAGATATCGAGATACGCTCGGCGTGTAGGTCGACACAGAGCACGAATAACGAGCTAGAAAGAACGTCCCCTCCGTTCCTCTACCCGCCCCCGCCCCCTAGGGTGTCTCCCCCCCCCCCCCCCCCCCCCCCCCTTTTTGGGGGGGGGGGCCCCGCCCCCCCCCGCCTTTGGGCCTTTTCTCCCGGGGGGGGTCCCCCCCCCCCCGGGGGGGGGGGGGGGCCCGGTTTTTTTTTCCCCCCCCCCGGGCGCGGCCCCGGGGGGCCCCCCTTTTCGGGGGTTCCGGGGGGGGGGGCCCCCCCCTCGCCCCCCCGGGGGGGGGGGGGGTGCTTTTTCCCCCCCCCGGGGCCGCGGGGGGGGGGGGTTTTTTTTTTCCCCGCCGCGTTCCCGGGGGGGGGTTTTTTGGCCCCCCCCCTCCCCCCGGGGGCCTTTTTGGGCCCTCCCCCCCCCCCCCCCCTGGGCCCCCCGGGGTTTTTTGGGGGGGGTTGGTGGCCTTTCTTTCCGCCCCCGGGGGGCCCCCCCCCGCGCCCGGGGGGGTGCCCCCCCCCTTCTCGCCCCCCC